GTCAATTAAAGCTAACTGTTATATCCTTTTTGGTTTAATTGCTCTGTATAAATAGTTAAAAATCTTTGACCTTCAAAACTTTGAGCACTACCATGACTAAGGTTCATGTAAAATGTGCTCCAAGGATGGTCATGTTTCGCTTTGAGCAAATGTGAAAAAAATTATTTGGCCATTGATTGTCTCTTATGTTTTGAATTTTTCACATTGACTTACCTGATGCTTTTTATAGTTTAGGTACTTTCCTGTATGTGTCTTTGCCTGTGGTTATAGGTTGTACCATAAACTTTTGATCTTGTCCTTTTTGGTATTATTTAAAATTGTAAGTTGATATGGAGACATGAATTCAAAGATAAAGTCTATATTATGAATTATTGTAGGAAATATATGCTAGATAAAACAATTATAAATGGATTAATTAATTATTGCTGTGAGTTGTACATTAAAATTTATTTTATAATTTTCAGTTATATAAATTTTTATTTATGCTACAGGTATATATATGTATATATTGAATTGGATGCTGCTTTCAATGTTTTCATGGTTTTAGTCACATCCAAAAAATATGAAAGATATTAATATTGACATATATGTTTTACAAGGATATCAAAAATAAAACTTATGTTTCATTTAAATTAAGTTAAAAAATTGAAAGTAAAGATTATGGATTGCTTAAAAATGGTATTCAAATGAGAAATTAATGAGGGATGAAATATTTAAAATGATAACAACAAACATCTACTTAAGACACTTAGCTTGACCCTCTGTCATTTAAATATATATAGATTTTTATGCCTCCGCCGTAGTGGAAGGGGCATTAAGTTTTACCCTTGTACGTCTGTATGTACAGACGTCCATCCGTTTGTCCCAAAATTGGTTTCCGTTGTCTAACTTTAGTTTGTCTCAACCAAATGTTATGAAACTTATCCACAATGCTTATTACCACAAAACACAGATCGAGTTTGAATTTTGGTGACATCACTTTTACTTTTCGAGAGTTATGCCCCTTTACAAATGGAAAAATTGCTGAATTTTCGTTTCCATTCTCTAACTTGAGTTTGCCTCAACCAAATGTGATGAAAATTATCCCGAATTTTATTACCACAAAACACAGATCAAGTTTGAATTTTGGTGTCACTTTCACTGTTCTAAAGTTATGCCCCTTTACAAATGGAAAAATTGCTGAAATATTAGATTTAGTTCTCTAACTTTAGTTTGCCTCAACCAAATGTTATGAAACTTATGCACAATGCTAATTACCACAAAACACAGATAAAGAGTGAATTTTGGTGGCGTCGCTTCTACTGTTCTAGAGTTATGCCTCTTTAAAAATGGAAAAATTGCTGAATTTTCTGTTTCTGTTCTCTAATTTAAGTTTACGTCAACTAAATGTTATGAAACTTATAAACAATGCTTATTACCACAAAACTCAGATCAAGTTCAAATTTGGGTAGTGTCACTTTTACAGTTCTTGAGTTATGACCCTTTATAACGTTATATGCAAGCAGGGGCATCATCTATGGGACACATTCCTCATTTAGTGCTATTGATTTTCATTTATGTCTATATATACTTGCACACAAAAATGATATGATAAGTTTAATTTTAAGAGACAAGTGGGAAAGGTAGATTTTATTTTTTATTATGAATTTGACATGTTTGATTCAGTCACATTGATAGAATCACCATTTGCTTTAGAATTTTCTTTTTAAAAAATACTCACAAATTGACAAAACATTTTCAGTTTCTTGTAGCTAACTTTTGGTATCTATAATTTGGTTACATTTAAGGACATAACGACCTCAAAATATACACATATGAAGCTGTAATGTTGTAATTCTATTGAAGGACTTATATTGAAAATGACCACATTTAAAATCAAAGTACTGAAGTACTGAACATTGGATGACCACAAGTTCTTGAGGATGGTCAAAAGCACTTGTCTCAGAAAAAAAACAACATATCTCTTTACCTGAAACTGAGGTAAATGTACAGAGATATATTTTTTTCTGAGACAAGTTCGTGCGTGGATGATGAATAAATGACAGGAAATTCATCTTCACCGTAATAACTACATGTATTATATTGTAGTGATACAAATCAGTATACACTGATTTGTTGTTATATATTATATTAAAATAACAGTTACATACATATATGATTTGCATCCATTTGTATATCATTCTATTCTACTATTCTAATAATAGTGCAATGCAAGTGCATGGTGGACACTTTTCTGTAAAAATTCGATTTTTCTAAGATTGGATACGAGTAGGCATTCATATTTTCCCGCAAAAACAATTACAGAGTTACCGGTCCTTCAAAACGTTCTTTGAGATATTCTTCCGCATGCTTTAACACAATTTTTCGGTACGTGTGCATTGATATTATCAATGATTTTTTACTTATATATATATATATCTAACTACAAAACATTTTCATATTATTAATTTATGTTGTAAACAAAAATATTTTTATCAGTATTCATTGAAGAGATGTATTTATATCAAACGATAAGGAATGTTATTTTGCATTCGTTTATGTGCGCATATTTATCATGTTTATAGATCGGTTACAAACCCAAAACTAATTTACATAATGGAAATCTAGGCGATAGCAATACATCGGAATGACCTCAAGGTCATCGCGATGTAAAAATAGCACATTTTGACTTGACATTTTCTGTGTGAGTTACTGGACTTTGACTATCAACTTATTACTCATACCTTGTGACTATTTCACAGTCCACAGGGGTAGGTGCAATTTTGTTATATTTATCTCCTCAATCCTAGATAATAAAAGTTTAGATTTTAACATGTAGGCTGTGGCTTCAGTTCTGAAATCTTTGTTTTGGTTTTTCAAGCAAATGTCTGCCTAATAAACTTTATATCTTAAATGTGTTGTTGCTGAAATGATTTTGTTCAGCATGTTCATAAGTAGATTTCCAACTGATTTTTACAGTTTATTGTTATGTTGTGCTGTTACATCACTGTCCCATGTTAGAGGGAGTGTTGAGTTCACAAACTTTTAATTCTGCCAAATTCTTTATGCCAATTATGGGCCTGTTTCAAATCTGAAGCCTGTTATTCAGTGGTTGTTGTTGATATCTCTCTGTCCTATTTTGTTTACTGTTTTTAGTATTTTCTCTCTTGAATTGGTTCATAGTTTGCCATGCTTAAGGGCCTTTTATAGCTTACTATGCGGTATAGGTTTTGACCTATAGTTGTTTACATGTGTGCTAAACAACTCGCAACTCAACAACCATAAAAATACCACAAGTGACATCTAGAGAAAAAAACATAAAGTCTTTAACAATAGGCAAGTGTATATTTAAAATTCTCTATATCACGTGAATAAATTACAGACTACCAAAGGTCAGATACCACACTTAAGATCATGTTTGACAAGATTCCCGACATTGGACATTATGTAAATGTAGCAGAGTTAAACTTAAGTTTCAGTACTGTACCTTTCTTTGCCACTTTTTAAATCTATTGTATGAATAGCAAAATGTTTATTGGAGAAGGTTCTTCAATTCAGAAAAAAGCATTAAACTGTATGATAATTGAAGAAAGAAAGAAAGATAAATTATTTTTACTAACAACAATACACAGTAATAAGTAAAAACAATTGTTACGAATAAGAAATCAAATAGTAAGTAATTACTGAAAGGAAGCTCAGGCTGCTTTATCTCCTGGCTCAAATATAATACCTTCTTTTTCTGAATCCATTTCTTTGCTAACTTTTGTCATTCACTGTATAAGTTTGCATAAGCTAATGAGTCCAAAGGGGAATGTATGCCAAGGCCACTTTTTTGGTCCTTTGAAACTGAAAACTCAAAAATATTCAGATGTTCATAAAACATTAATCTGTTTGACATCAATATTCATATTTTAATTTTGTCTGACATGGCTTCAAACATCTTGCATTTAGTGCAAAACTGCAGAAACTACACTACTAAAATAACCTAATTTTGAGATTGTGTCATTCATCCAAGGATTTACCCTAAAGATATCTTGCTGCAAAATTTATTGTACAAAGATGTTCATGTGAGTAAAAAATCATTTTGGGTATAAATACCGTATTGGCTCATATCTATTTTTACCAAAAGCTGGCTGAAAAGTGTCAATTTCATCATGTTTATGACACTATAGAGACAACTCAAGTGACCTCTCTGCACAAAAGTTTATATCTGTTCATTTATCAATAAAATTAATTTGATTTTGAAAGGCTTGAATAATATTACTTATTTGTAGGCTTTTATACATTTAACAGTTTATTATTTGTGTAATTTAAGTTTGATACATTTTATAGTATCATCCCTTTCTTAGTATAAAGGGAACATATATTTTTCTTACATATTTGGATTTTGAGGAATTCTGTAAAGGATTTTTTTTAAACTTCAATTCCAACAAAGGATTACCTTATTATACAGTTCAGTAGAGGAAATTGTATCTGTAAACTCTGATAAGAAATTTTTTATAAAAATTTAATAACTAATTCTCATTTTTATGTTCTGGATCAAAGGACTTTTTAAGATTTAAAGCATTTAGGAAGACTGTAAAAAGAGAATAAAAGAAATTGCAATTCAAAGATTTATAAAAATTTGTTGGAAGAATGATATTAAAGAATGATTATAAAATTCTGAGTAAGAAAATAAAATTTCATAGTTGAGTGAAAACCAGTAAAAGGAAAAAAAATATAATTAAATCAAATTTAGTCAGGTGAAAAGAAATAGAAAGGATCTTGAGAAAATCAGAAAATTAAAATAAATAAAATAATTTTAAATTAACTAAAGAATCATTGAAGTGTATGGACAGGTGATATTTTTGTATTTGTTTTCCAATTGTTTTGTTCTTAACCTTAAATAACAGTTATCTGATGTTGAACAAGCTTATTATACATCACAAGGGATTTCTAATTGAAAAATAGTAGACTCTTAATTTGTCCATTTTTTATTAATGTTTACTTTGAACTTTAAAAATGACATAAAATCAAAACTGTAGGGACAAGAAAAGCAGGTGCCATTTTAAAAGTGTCTTGATTGCATCTGCCATTCAGAGGGGGATAAATAGAATAGCCCAGGAGATGACTAATGGAAAGAGTCTGATTGAATAAGGCAATGTTCTAATGAAATGTTTCATTCTGGTTCACAATTTAGTTATACTGCCTTATTGGGATGACGAAAGGAAGAACTTTTAACTAGAAAAAATCTTCATTACTGCTTTTTGAAAATTACTTATATAAAGTTTGAAATTAATATTTATTGATTTTGCTTATCAGTTGGGTTTTTTTCATGGATAGTTGTGTAAAAAGTGCTTCAATTATTGGAATTTACATTTGAAATCACTCTTCTCTGATTGTGTCCATGTTGATATCGGTAGATTAAGGATAATGTGGAATACTGAAGAAAATTAATTAGATTGTAGCTGTGTGTATTAACGGATAAAAATGACTTTGGAAACTGTTGAGGAGATGAGAAGACCTAGAACATATTATAATTGTCAAATACCTAAGGTACTGTATGGTTATTTTGAGATTTTAATAGTGTTAGTCAATTAGTATGAATAAAAACTGGGAGTTATATGTAAGATTTTGTTTTAATACAACGTGTAATTGTAAAGTGTTGAAAAAAATTTCTTGTTAGTATTTTAGATGAAAAAAATGCCACATGTCTGAAATTTTTTTTAATTGTAAAATTTCCATTCAGCGGCTTTAAGATTAGACGCATATACCATCTATCTAACTCTCGTCCTTATCCTAGGATATAAAAAACATTACACATTGTACATGGATAATTAGATTTTGTTCATCTCTCTATAGAAAATGGAAGAATAACTATTTTACAGTTTGTGAAACAAGTGTACATATTTTTAATAGACAAAATACAAATGCCAACGAAGAAATTTTATCAACCAAAGAGCTAACAAATAAAAACCATTATAAGTAGTTTAGATAACATTTTTTTGTCAACTTCCATACTTAACAATTGATTTCCATTCAAATAGCTATTGAGAACTAATCAGTTAATTGAAAATTAGCATATCTTTTTAAGGGGATCAAGATTTAAACTTAAATAATTTAGCTGGATCTTAAAGAATAGTGACTTAAATCATAGATTGATGATAGATGTATATGATCATTTGTATGAACAAAATGAGATGAACTAATGTGAATAAGACAGTAACCCAACACAATTTGACAAAAATAGCATTTGATGTGCAACAAATAAATTTAGAAGTTAGAAATAATAGTGCAAATAAGATCATTTTATATTTAATTACACATTTACAAATTTAAAAACAGAATGCTTTCTTTAATATTTTTTTTGTGGTTTAAATTTTGGTAAATATCAGTAGAGTTCTTGAAAAGTAGTGGTCCGAAGGTTTTGACCCCAAAATTTTGTAAAGGACCAACACAATTTTGGTATTTTGCAATTTAGAAATAATAGTGAGGACTAGCAGATTTTCTACATGGACCACCAGGGGAAAAAGATTTTGAGAACTCTGTAACCAGGAGAGTAGAAACTAGTAGTAGGAGACAATAAAAAGTCCAGAAATATTGCTGTCATGATTATAAATATTTTTTAAAACATGTAATTGCAGAAGATGAGTGACAGTGTAACTATTTCTATTCTAAAATTATTAGATTTTAAATGTATACATGTGACCATTATTGAAGTATGTTGACTTATGCAAATATTAAATAATCAGTCAATGAGATTCATAGATAACGATATATTTGAAATTTAAAAATATGCTATTAAGTTCCTTCAGATTTTAGATTTAGCATGTGTGTCCATATTTTCATTGTTCAGACCTGTTATTACCACCATGATATTTTGATAAAGGTCAATGGGGAGTTGAGTCATCAATATAGTTCAAGGTCTACCAGTACAGATCACTTCTATAGTATCAGCTATAGTTTTACTCCATAATTTGCTAAAAAAATATGCAGTAGTACTTTCAATCTTGTAATCCTTTTTTCATGGACCAGGAAACTACAGCCATGCCATTGAATAAGTGTTGAACTTAAATATAAAAATTTGACCTCTTTACAATGATTATACGACATTAGGGCAGTGGAGTCAGGAAATTAGCAAGAAATAGCAAACAGTTTCTGTAAGTTACCTTTTGGAAACCTGTAAAGTTGTAACTGCTTACCAAAGTAAGAAAAAAGCCAAGTACAGTGTATACCTTACTTAAAGTACACATTGATTAAGTATGCTTAGAATTCATTTCTGTTTTAGAAAAGATTAAAGAAGAGAAAAAAAACTTTAGAAGAATAACATAATAATAAATGTCATTTGTTAAATGACAAGTAATGGTTGATTTTATCACATATATTTGTCAAGAGAACCATAATTAGGGCACCTGTCAATCAATTGTCCACTAACATGATTTATTGATTGCATACATGATACTACAGTACTCAATGTCCAGTTGTCAGAATGCCCTGTGTATTGGCTAATGGAGGCAATACACATGGACAAAACATGTAGTACTGTAGGAAATATTTTTGTTTTTGAAGTTTTGTGAACATGAAGTTGTTCAAAATTGTTGAATCAATGGCTGTTATATGTAATGACATTAAATGTCACATCCTAGAAACATGGGAGTTATTTCTAAAATAAATCTAAAAATAGATAGATTGATTGGTTGATTGAATATTTCTTAGTGCAACATTAGCATTGAAAAATAATCAATAAAAAAAGAATGAAAAGGTAGATGTAATTTTTGTTTGGTTGCACCCTGACCTTTACCCAACATCTTTAAATGAAATTGACCCGCAGTAAATTCTTACCTCCATGAAGTATATAACACTATCTTACAGTTAAATAAGATTCAAAATCAGTTTTCTCTAAGTTTATTTGCTGATATGTATCTCCAATTTTTATCTCTCTGATGGGATGTTATTTTGCATATCTTATAAGGTATAATAGAAAACTGGTTGATATTTGGCCATCTTCTATATTTTTATACTGATATATTGGTGTAAAAATTACTTCATATGTTGCTATCATAAATATTTATGAATGGATATTGGTTCATATTTGGTCATCTTTTAAAAATTTGGAAAATTGCCTTGGTGGTCTCATGGTATCATCCTCATATCAATAGCTGCAGAGGTCATGGTTTTAATCACCTGCTGGATTTAACCAAAGACTAAGTTGCGTTTACTGCTGGAAAGTATGAAATCAAACTCGGCATGCTATTCTAGTATGTAACAGGTATTTATTCATATCTCATTAACATGGTAGCATCCTCAATATGCATGTAGTATTTGCCACTGGACATTATACAGCAATCAATCAATTCATTTATGATGAGAAATTGATTTATATTTGGTAGTCTTAGGCCAGAGAATAATCTTTAAGCAAGTGTTTTAGAAATATAAAAAAGAAAAATGAGAAATATTCAAAGATAGATAATAGTAGTTCTCAGGAAACTTTGAATTAGGAAGCTTATAATTAATGAAAAAGGAATAGGACTCAATTGCCTAATAAACTTTTTGTTTTGAACCCACAGATTTTTATGCCCCACCTAGGGGCATTATGTTTTTCGGTCTGTGTGTTTGTTCGTTTGTCTGTTCGTTCGTCTGTTCGTCCGTCTGTCCCGCTTCAGGTTAAAGTTTTTGGTCAAGGTAGTTTTTGATGAAGTTGAAGTCCAATCAACTTGAAACTTAGTGCACATGTTCCCTATGATATGATCTTTCTAATTTTAATGCCAAATCATAGAAAATGATAGTGCGAGTGGGGCATCGTGTACTATTGACACATTCTTGTTTTAGTATACACACATTAAAATAATTAATTAGTTTTCTTACATGTAAATTCATGAGTTTTGTGCAATAATTGAGATTACCAATACGAAAAATGAATGAATAAAATTATGTAAATAGTTTAAACAAGAGAACTTTTTTCTATGGATATAAATACTCTCTTTTTTTTTCTCAACTTTGGGTTGATGGGTTCCTGTCTTGTAGATGTATTCTGTGTCTGTTTTACAAGGTTTAAGTAAAAGTTGTGTTTTAATTAATTTCAAATGACCTATTATTTGACCCTGTAATTAGAAGGCTGATATTATGGAACTTATCCTGAGGTTAACCAATCTGACCAAATTATTGACTTCAGGATGGTAGAACATTTTTATGTTTCATTTATTTCTACCTGAACATGAAAAGGCAATTGTAGGGTCATAACATTGTGGTCATGTGACCATAATGACAGGTGTTAAGAACAGGTGAACTTTTCTTATCTTGTAGTTAATACTTAAATCTATTTGATTAAATTTAAATTTCAATTATTTAAGATTTGGCTTTATGTTTACACATCTTAAATATTTACTATTTTTCAAAGACATTCATAAAGGATTAGATAGTTTTATTTTTGTCCTAATAGTTTGATTGACAGAAAACAAGAGGTATATATATGGTGTTGTGTAAAGATAAGAATATGTTCCAAGTATGAATGTGGTATAGACTTCAGATAATATGGAAGTTTGTTAGATAATTGAGTTCAATCTAATTGGTTATGAAGTTGGTAGAACCTGTAGATGTTCTGTATTGGTGAATTAATGGCAGTTACATGTAATGACTTATTGGCAGCAGCAGCCTAAACTATTTGTATAAAGCTATTGATTTCAGAAGGTAGAAGACAGTGGATACTTCATATTTGTATACAGATGCCATATGGTATAAAGTATGTCAGTTGTCCTTGACCTTTTTTTTTATTCAGAATGAGTTTGCTTAATAAAATAAATGCTTTTAACCAAATGATTTTCTCGCTTCGTATGTGTAATAGGAAAACCATATTTGTTATATAAAATCCTTGCAAGGTATACATATCCATCTGACAGGTTTCACCTGACCTTGACCCCATTTCATGATTCAGCAATTATCTTTTAGTTTTCTTGGTCAGGTCTGTTTTTCAGATACTATAAGCCATAGTTCATATCTATATTTGGTGTATAGAATATTGTATGGTGTACATATCTATCTGGCTGGGTTCTTCTGACTCATTATTGTGATTATTGTGAAGCATTGATAATGTTCAGTTAATGTGATACCTGTAAAAACTTATCTTAAAAACTTTTAAAAAAATCCAATCATAATCAGTAAAGCAGGCAGTTACAACAGCTTTTTATTTGAACCTTTCACTAAATCTTACTCACATTGTGTACTTTTTAGGGTTTCTTTGCAGATAATGGACAATTGCAATCATTATCTCTGGGTACCCATTTTGTTTTCGTAATGCCTCCTAAACGTCTTGTTAGAATTTATTGAAACTTTCTAGGACTCTATGATGCACCGCTTATTTTGTTTGTTTATTTTTGTTTATTATTTTTAGGGTTTTCCTTTGCAATTCATAGACTTTGCTATTGTTTCTAGTGGGAAAAAAGGTATTGTTTTGTGAGTTTTGCTAGCAGTATTTGATGCGGGAGGAAGCATGTCTAAAATATGTTAGACGTTACCATTCTGTTATCATTTATTTGTAATTTATATCTTACCAAATTGTTAGAGTTAATTTCACTGTTTCTATTTTAACTATTGATTCATCAAATGACCAATGACCAACTTATAAAAACAGCTGCTTAAAACAAAATGTAAACAAACTGTTTTTACATCAATAGGTCCTCTGGACATACATGTATCTACGTATTATGGTCACAGTTCTACCTGTAAGTGGTAGCAATTAAGAATTGTAATCAAAGGAAATGTTTATACAGTTCATCTCATGCAGATTCATTTTTTTCTAATTTTAGAAAAAAACTTCTGTCTTCAAAGTATATCTATAAAAGCAGTTATCAAAATACATAAGGTTCATGTTGTTCAGGTCTCACTATAGTTGAAACAGGTGGTCCAGTTTACTACAGTAATAACAACTGACCATTCCTTGGGGCAGATTCCCATCTGATGTAGGGGGAGTTGTAACATTCTGCTTTGTTGTTATTTACGTCAAATATTATTCTAATGTTACAGTTTACTGTGTGGGTGATCAGAAAGTAATTATGATTATAGCTTGCTGTCAAATGTTGCTTATATGAGGATAAGGAAAAAGTTATATTCAGCAGTTAGTTTTGGGAAGATTTATTCAAATTGGGATCTAACTTCTTGAAATTGGTGTTTATTTTCAGAACCAAGTTCTGCCACCAGGATTTTTCCCGCTGTCTGCAGTGATGGCAAACCCATCAAGTCATGGTAACAGTTACTTGTCAAATGAGGTAAAAAATATTTTAAAATCCTTGCTTGAAATTATAATTTTATGCAAGTTATTCCCCTTTTTATAAAATATTACTTATTATAAGTTTTGTAACCACAGAAGGCCTTAATTTTACCTCCAATGAAACAAAAGTCACTGATTACACTAAATATTAGTAAAGTTGCAGTTGTCTACATTGAATTTAATGTGTAAATTGAACAAAAAATCCTTAATTCCAAAGTCATTCATTTTGGACTTGTTTCACTGTTTATAAGCAATTGTTTATTTAATTTCCAACATTGAGCTAAGATTCATTGCAGTGTGTGTTATAAAATAGAATATTAGTTTGAATTGGAAGAATTTTCCTGTAATATTATTGCCACTGGAAGAAAAATTACAGAATTTGTTCCTAGTGGAATAAAGGGTATAGAATATTTGTTCCAACAGATATCATAGCATTGTTTTTAACAAAGTTTTTAGAGGAATGTCTGTAAGGGGGAACAAGTTTAAGTCTAAATATGAATCTGTTGCTCTTTTGACAAAAAGTATTTTCAATGAAACTAATCATTACATGTACTGAACTGCTCTCCTGTCTTACAAGTGAATTTATGGTTAGACTTTTGGTTGAAAGAGCTACAGTACTTATCCCAACTGATATAAAATTTTGATATTACTATTTTCCATGTTATGCTAAGGCATGGCTTTCAGGGAAAAAGATTTTTGGTAACTTAATTACTTTTTTAAGGGAAAAAAAATGTATTCGATCTTAGTAATAACATTTTATAATCCTATCACTGATGTTTTTTTTTCAGTATAAACTTTTTAAAGATATTTCACTTAAAAATGACTGAATTGCAATTATATAATTCAATTCATTTCATAAAGAATCAGATTTGAAAATTTTGAAAAGCTCTGTTTACCATCTTTAAGTATGACATTTACGCTTTATAATATGCGAATAAACTAATCAATGATAATAGTTTTAAAAGCATAAAATTGCATATTTCTTAGGATTTTGATATCCGTAAAGTGCAGTGTAAAATTTAATATTGTATTACATAATATTAGGAAAATGTCATTTAAAAAATTGATAATAATATAATTTTATAAATGAAAAAACTATGTATTAATTTAAGGCTTTCCTTTTCTTTCACTTTAAATCTTTAAAATGCTGTAAAAATAAATTGTTAAGCAACAGGTGTTAGGTGAAGTTTATTTGTTTTTAAAAGGTAACTTTTAAAAAAAAAACATTTGAACAAAGATTCATTAAAAAGATACCTGATAAAAATGGGTAATTAAGAAAGGTTTGAAAGAAACAAATTTGTTTTGTCACCTTAAACCGACAGGTGATGAATACAATTTTGCTGATTTATCGATTAGTCAATGAAGGTACTTGAAGAGTTTATAATCCATTTACGGCCACTTACACATGATATAAATGTGGTTTCCATTACACTCTAAATCTTAACAGTCATTGGAGAGCTCGGAAAAGGTTTTTTTTTTTAAATTGGTGTTTTGAATTTAAGAAGTTGGGATAATTAGGAACATGAGAACTGATTAGTTGTGACTTTGTAAGTAGACTGAATTCAAATCGGAATTTGTAGTGTCACACTCTTGAGTGGGTAACGGAGTTCTGAATCTAAAGAATGTTCGAAGAATAAAATGAAATTATATGAAAGATTCAGGCTACTGTTAGATAAAAGAACGAAAGATTTATGACTGATTGAAAGTAACTTAGGATTTTATATAAGTTCCAAACAAGAGTGTGATACTGTGCATTGGATAAAGGTTGTGTGATAACTTATTTCTCAAAATTAAATCCAAATTCCAAAGTTCTAAATACATGTACCTGATATTTGATCAACAAAATAATACTGTAAATTCAAAATATTTCGTGCATTTATCATGACAATTGTTGAACTAAGAACACAATTAAAGATTGATTATTTGCGATTTCAGGAAATGCTTCATAGAAATAATAATATTAAAATTTGAAGATGCAAGTTTTAATTTTTGTGAAACGTTATAATCCCATCCCAATTTAAGCAATAATGAAAACATGGCAACATTTCTGAATTTACAGTAACAGATATTTGTGTCAGTTTACTATAGAGAAACAATTGTTTCATGCACTTATTTATAAAACAGTCAACTTGGAGCACTGGTGTGACCTTAAGCCTAATCAATTAATAAAACAGTAATTATAAGTGAAACAGATCAGATCAAAGTGACCTACATTTTCAAATTTCTAGCTTCCTATGGTGCAGTAAGAGAATTAGTAGTAAGTGACCTACATATTTGAATTTCTGTTTTTTTATGGTAAAATAAGGGAATAAGTCTAAAGTGAACTATATATTGAAAATACAATTATTAATCATCAAATTATGTATCAGTAGATAAAATTAGATGTAAAAATATTCCAAGATAAGCTAATTTTTCCCTAATGAGTACCATTGATGCCCAATGATTAACAGATAATATTATACAGAAAATTATAAAAGATTGTTTCCTGTGTAAATCAATATTCCATCCATTTGTAAGTAGCTCCTACAAATTGCTTTATTGGTGAAATCCATTTGACTGTCAGTTTCTGTTAGATTTGTGTAATTACTCAGAAATGTGATTGTTTTGGTAAGGATGAAAAACTGTAAACAAACATGGTGAACTACAGTCAGAATTTTCCATTAGATTTTGGGCAATTCTAAACTGATTTCATAGTTTTGTAGCAAAAACACAACTTTGCTCTTATAGAAAAGTGTCAACTTATATATGAAAAAGAAGTAGAATTTTTAAATCTGTACATGCTTAAAATGTGTTAAATTATTAATGTTTTGTTTTGGGATAATATACATACATATATATACAAAACAGACTTCGGTGACATTCTTTTAAATGTATACATATCTCAATGAACCAGACTATTCATTTTCTGTCTCAGAATAACTTCACAACTGTGAACTGTGCTGTGAGAACCAATGATTTAAATCTTTACACTTTGACAGCCCAGGAGAACATTTAAAAAGACAGTTCCTATTTGTTGTGAACAGTTATTCTGATACAGGTAATGAAAGAAAGTCATTTTTTCGGTCACTAGTGTAATCTGTACTTTTCATTAGTACTAAGCAATACATTTATTATACATTTATATTTATTCCAGTCTTTTCACACACCTTGTTTTGGAGACGAAGATTTTGATATAACAAGTTTAAGTTTGCCATCAGGCACAGTGGACAGTTTATCTCACATTCAGCCAACGATTACAGACACTCATATTGACCCTGCCACTCTTCATTCACATCATAGACTTAACTTTAATAACTCTATCATGAGCTCACCTGATAATAATTCTAATGGATCAAATATGGCGCCACAGTTTCCTCCCGAAAATATGGAAATGCCCGATATCTCAATGTCAAACAGTTTGATAGCAGCTAATGGTATGATGGCACCACCTGTGCAGGACGGATGTGTTACAACATCAAGTTTTTATTCAAAGAATGCTTTAAACAATAAAAATTCTCCACGGCGGGAGAGCAGTGAAGAAAGTAGTGATGATTCTCTTCCTTTAGCACAGGTTAGTTTGATGTCTGTTTTAGTGTTAGAAATATTCATCCAGCTTTAAGAATTATTAAAGTTATTTAAGCGGAAATATACAAGGGCTACTTCAAATTGTCCTTTAATGACGATTTTTACTATTACTTTTGTTTTGCCTATTATTTTGAAAACTATATTAGATAGACAGAATTTTTAAATAGCAAAAAAGATCAGTAAGAAAAGATCTACAATGAAGTCAACTTGGCCGAAATTGTCAGTCTACTCCTTACAGGAGTAATTGCCCTTAAATGACAATTTTTTATGTACAGGAGTAATTGCCCTTAAATGACAATTTTTTATGCCCCACCTACGATAGTAGTAGGGGCATTATGTTTTCTGGTCTGTGTGTCTGTTTGTTCGTCCGACCGATCGTCCGTCCATCCGTCTGTCCCGCTTCAGGTTAAAGTTTTTGGTCTTGGTAGTTTTTGATGAAGTTGAAGTCCAATCAACTTGAAAACTTAGTACACATGTTCCCAATGATATGATCTTTATTAATTTTAATGCCAAATTAGAGTTTTTACCCCAATTTCACGGTCCACTGAACATAGAAAATGATAGTGCGAGTGGGGCATCCATGTACCTTGGACACATTCTTGTTTTTTTGTGTTTTTGGTTTTTATCGTGGAAATTATAAATGATCAGCAAGACAAGATCTACAAATGAGTCAACATATAGGAATTAGTGCCTTTTGATGATTTTATCATTTTGCTTTGTGTTTTTGCCTATAATATAATATTGAAACCTTTTATAGGTATTTAAAACTTCAAAAAGCAAAAATGATCAGTAAGACAAGATCTACAAATAGGTCAGCATAGATGAAATTGTCAGCTGTCTTATTTTAGGAATTATTGCCCGTAAATGACGATTTATGTCTTGCCTGTAACAAAAGTTGCACGATGTGAAACTTAAATATTACTATCCAGGGACGGCGTAAACTATTTGTATAAAGCTTTATATTTCAGAAGGTAGAAGACCTGGATGCTTCATACCTTGTATGCAGATACCTTATGTTACGAAGTTTCCGTCTGTCATATATCCATTGTTGTTTACCTCAATTTCATGGTTCAGTGACTGCTTGAAAAAAAAATACTGTTTTTTTGTCATTTGAATTTGTCACTTAAAATGAGTAATAGGATAAATATATTTGGTAAATGGTTTCCTTGCAAAGTCTACATGTCTGTTAGGCAGGGTTGACCTGACCTCGACCTCATTTCATGGATCAGTGATCAAGATTAAAGTTACGTGATTAGGTCCGTTTCTCAGATACTATAAACAGTAGGTCAAGTTCTATATTTGGTGTATGGAATGATTGTAAGGGGTACATGTCAGTCTGGCAGGTTTCATCTTACCTTGACCTCATTTTCATGGTTCATTGGTCAATGTTAAGTTTTTGTGTTGGGTCTATTTTCAAATACTAATAGTAATAGGTCAGCTATATTTGGTGTATGGAATAATTGTAAGGTGTACATGTCTGTCTGATAGGTATTTTCTGACCTTGACCTTGTTTTCATGGTTCATTGGTCAATTATATGTTTTCTCAATTTTGAATTTTATCAGATACTAAAAGCAACATGTCAACTATATTTGGTGTATTGACTGATTGTAAGGTATACATGTCTGTCTTGCCTGGTTCATCTGTCCTTGACCTCATTATCATAGAACATTAATAATGTTAAGTTTATGTGATACTTATAGTAAAACCTTCATGTTACAGACATGATAAGTGAAACAAGTGAGACATTTCAGCCTGTGCACTCTTGTTTACCCTTTTTATTTATGTTTGGGAAAAAACTATAGGAGTAAGAGAGAATATGTATTCAGAAAAAATGAACAACAATGCAAGGTCAACAAAAGAAGAGATTTTAGTCATGAATTATATTCTGCTCCTTCAATGTTGGAGGACGATAAGCAACCAACAATCAATCAATCATTACAATGTTGGAGAGTGGCAATTGGAAATTGAAAATAAGATAAAATCAAAGATTAAAAAAAGTCACTGAAATAACATAGTAATCTGAATCCTACCTGGTGGTTAAACAGTGTCCAGGGTTCGACATTAACTTTTATACCAACTTGTCCAGTTGGGCAAGTGCCCTATTACTTTTACTTGTCCAAAAGTGAAATCTACATGCCCAAACTTTTACATGCTATTTTTGTGGTAGTACATGCAGATAAAATATAGTTATCATGTATATGGGGTGTAAATTGATTATGGAGTATGAAAATATACTATGAGGCATATATGAGCCGAGGAGGGAGGGAAAAGATCGATGAATATACGGGAATTGGATCATTTACATAGAGATACTTATTTCATAATAATTTATCTAAGAAATGCCATTTCAAATAACCCTTCTTGATAAACTGACAACAACTGACAAATTTGTTAAAGTTTAATTTCATTTTCTCTTTCAAGCTTTTACGTTTTTCCATCTTAGGGAAATACACATCCGATGTCAAATTATAAAGTTAGAACAACGAAAATAGACCTCCGCTTTCCATTGGTCGGTGGGAATAACACGTGCGTCGGAAACGCCCGAGTGGTGTCCCGATGGATAACGATAATGACGAAGCAACGCCGCGGCCGCCTGATTGGCCAATATTTTTAAAAGTGATCTATTTTTGGTAAAATGGGGAATTCAGTGCGAACAATTGACGAAATATACGCATTGAAGGGGGGTTAAGACCACTTTACTCGACCGTGCGGTGTTATCACTGAGTAATCTATGGACAAAACAACAGACACTATTGATTTTGTGAAATTTTAATCATATAACACTTTTTTTTTCACTTGCCCGATCGGACAACCAAGATGGTGTTTTTACTTGTCCGAATACGGCATTAGCTTGCCCCGGGCAATCGGACAACCGTAAGTGTCGGACCCTGGTGTCTGATTATAAGTCTCATGATGAATGTCAGAAGATAGAATTTGATTTACCACATGAGAAATAAGGGGACATTAGATAAACTTTCAAAGGATAAAAAGGAGTATTCTCTTAAAAAATGATATTTTACTTCTGATGAATATGTGTACAGATACCATATTTAACATTTAAGTGGCCACTTCTTCCCTGACTGATGAATATGTGTACAGATACCATATTTAACATATAAGTGGCCACTTCTTCCCTGACTGATGAATATGTGTACAGATACCATATTTAACATATAAGTGGCCACCTCTTCCCTGACTGATGAATATGTGTACAGATACCATATTTAACATATAAGTGGCCACTTCTTCCCTGACTGATGAATATGTGTACAGATACCATATTTAACATATAAGTGGCCACTTCTTCCCTGACTGATGAATATGTGTACAGATACCATATTTAACATATAAGTGGCCACCTCTTCCCTGACTGATGAATATGTGTACAGATACCATATTTAACATATAAGTGGCCACCTCTTCTCTGACTGATAGTGATAACACTGTTGCTAACGTAACTGTTAAGATTTACATGTTAAAAGCACCAAATTGAATAATGTCGATTATTTTATTTTTTTTGTTGGTAGCAAATGTATATAGTATTTGAAAATTTGCTATTAATCTACCTTATTTTGAGGTTTTATCATTTGCTCCTATCTAAGTAACTTAAATTTGTATTTTGCCAGAATTTGGTAACCCACAATATTAAAAATCATTAATATATAACCTATATTATTTTACCTGTATTTTTGAAAGCAGAGCTACTATATGGTTCAAAGTTTTTAAAAACTTTTTTACAATTTATTGAAACTTTTATAATAAATATATTAGTATTTAGTTGATGATATAATTGAGGACTTCAAGAGTTAGGTTAATGCCCCCAATGAATCAGTGAAGTTTGCAGGTCTGTAAAATATTGCCATATTCTTTTAGCTTGCTTTTATGAAGAGACAAGCAGCCGCTGCAGCAGCTGTAGAGGAAGCGCAGAAACAGAAGAAAACCAGAAAACCAAAAGTGACGAAGAAAAAGAAAAAGAAAGATCCAAATGAACCACAGAAGTAAGTGATTTACTCTTTTCCAATGCAAAAATAAGATTTGTTGTTTTTAACACATGGTAATTGACTCAGGGCATTCTAATAGTGCTCAATAATGAGATGCATAAATATTGAAATGAAAAAACAGCAACAACAAGAAACATACTCTCATTTATTTCATAATGTTTATGCCCCTGCCTCAACCAAATGTTATGAAATTTATACACAATGCTTATAACCACAAAACACAGATCAAGTTTGAATTTTTGTGGCGTCACTTTTACCGTTCTAGAGTTATGCCCCTTTACAAATGGAAAAATTGCTGAATTTTTCGTTTCCATTCTCTAACTTTAGTTTACCTCAACCAAATGTTATGAAACTTATAAACAATGCTTATTACCACAAAACACAAATCAAGTTTGAATTTTGGTGGTGTCACTTTTACCGTTCTAGGGTTGTGCAACCTTAACGCTAAATTTTTCGTTTCCATTCTCTTACTTAAGTTTGCCTCGACCAAATGTTATAAAAGTTATAAACAATGCTTATTACCACAAAACTCAGATCAAGTACAAATTTGGGTAGCGTCACTTTTACAGTTTTTGAATTATGTCCCTTTATAACGTTATATGCAAAGGGGGGGGCATCATCTGTGTCCCATGGACACATTCCCCATTTATTTTTTATATAGAACACTTAATTTTTGTGTGTCAATATATTTTGTTATGGTTTAATACACTACAGTAGTTAAACTATAACTGATAATACTTTGTCATTTATAAAGCATAAGAATGTTCATATGTCACAGATAATTATTGTTACTACCATATTTCAGGCCTGTATCAGCCTATGCATTGTTTTTCCGAGACACACAAGCTGCCATCAAGGGACAGAACCCTAATGCTAGCTTTGGAGAGGTTTCCAAGATAGTTGCCCAGATGTGGGATGGACTGGATCCAGAGCATAAAAATGTAGGTACCTTAGTGAAGTTGACTTTTCAATTCTTTTTAAAGGGAGAATTAATTTGATATCTGTACTGAAATATTTATACATTAATACATTAAAAAAAATTTGATTTTGTAAATGGGATTGTTGCAAACACTTTTTTGCAGACAAGAGGCCCAAAGGTGCCAGACATTAGTTTTTAGCTTTCCTGCTGTATGGATCAGGTCACCTATTGGCATCACTTTGTATATGTTGTCATCCCTGTAAACTTTTTTTAAATCTTCTCTGAAAACACTTACCCATTTTAACAAATTTTGGATGTTTTGGTAAGTTTATGTTTTGTTCCTGCCTATCAACCAACATGGCAACCAATTGGAAAATATAAGACAAAGGGTAAAACGATGAGTGGGATATCATTTTTGTCGGGCCTGTGACGAAAGTAACAAAAGGCATGACGTAGGTGTTGCTTTTCCAGGGGTGTTGTTGGCATGTCAACAATTGTTATGTTTCCTGCTTAAAATTAAATCCGTTTGATAGGAACGATAGTAGATGGAGAAAAATTGTAAGCAGAAAAAAAATAATCAGAAAAATAATATCATCAACTCCTTGTAGGAGTTATTGCCCACACATTTTAACATGTTATGGTTTATAATGCTAAACCCAATAAAGGCCTTTATTCATTTTATTGTTGGGCCAAAAACTTCCCACTGAACATTAATATAAAAAAAAATTCCCCTGTACCATGGGCTTTAAATTGAATCTGCTATTTATTCAAATGATAAAGTAAACATGATATTAGCTGTAATTGTACCATGAATTTTATCTCATACTATAAATAATTAATGAATAGTAATGCTACTGTAGAAAATCAGAAAAATAATTTGCCTCTCTCTTAATGAATAAAAAATGAGAAAAACACAATATGGCATGTATTTAATCCATTATTTTTTCTGTTGACATTGTAAAATGGTTCATGGAAGATGGAATTGTTTTGACACGTCATTAACGATTTTGATTAATTCCTGAAAGATTTTTCGAGGCCAGTGACACTCATTTGTCACCAATTTGAATTTTATTTGCTGAAATGATTTTTAATATTACCAAAGATTACAGCATTGTCAGATGTGGAATTTTTATTTCTTCGTCTATTGTTTAATTTCTCAGGGGAGATAATTTACAGTGCCTCAGTGTACAATATATTTTATAATATTCTGTTACTATGTAATTTGGCAGTTGAAATGGCATTATTGATTTGTATGAGAAGTGAAAAATTAACAATTAATCAAAAAATTAATCAATGAAATGTGTAATAAATTACAATTTTTTTCTCTTTTCATTTGGGAATAATGAAATTTAATCATGATTTACATTAATACGTTACATTAGCTGTTAATGAAAAAGGGAACATCTCAAAAACATGAAATATGTTGATTCTGTGAAAAATGGCTTACATTTGATTACTGTGAATCAGATTGTCTGATAAATTTGTCACTTTGATAAAATCATCTGTCACTCACTGACAAACACTAGTTATAAGAGAATCAATAAAAAGGGACAGTGGTCAAGAGATCACAGAATTTGTCCAGACCTCACATTAATATCTATTTTTCTGAGCACTAAAAATTAAGACTTTTTGACATGGATTGAAAACAACAATGAAATGAGAAGATTTTTTAGTTAAATGTTATGATGGGTTCACTCATAAAATTTCAACATAAATAGGACACATCCCAAAAGTGAAAATAAGATATCAACAATGAGGAAATGACCTACCTCAATCAATAAGAAAATGACCTTCCTCAAACAGAGAAGGGAATGGTCTCATATTTTTGCTGTTATTTAAAATCATCAATTTCAGATACAGTCCACAATCATTATCTTGGGCTTCTATCTAGGTTGTTAAAATTATTAAATTATGTTTGATGATTATATTTTTATTTTTTCTGCCAATCATGGGTGCTGTTATTGGCAAATGTAATATTTGTTGTTGTTGATTCAATGGTGTGTACCCACATCATTCTTTTATTCATCTTTACATTGACAAGTTTAAGGGGGACCATCTGATTTTGTCTTACCTTCAGTAGACAGAATCATGCTTCTCATTTTACAACACAGAAAAACAAGGTAAACTAGATGGATTTATTGATTGATTGTTTGTATTTAATGCCACCTTCAACACTCTTTGTTATATCATGTCTGCCAGCTTTATTGCTGGAGTTAAGCCAGAGTACTAAGAGAGAACCATGACAGGAAAACTGGCCATCCTTGTCTATTAAGATAGGTACTGAACACACCTTGCCATGAGTGGGGTTCGAATTGACAACCTCAGTGTTCACAGGGTAGTGATCACTGTCAACGAACTACTTAGACTACTTAGGCTATCAAGGCCCCAAGGGTAAACTAGACTATAACTTGAATAGAAGAATGACAGAAATCACTTCCTGGTCTGTTTGATTAATGGTGTGTTGCTTTTTAAAACATCGAGGGGCAAATATTTACTGCATATTCAGGACAAAAACCAATTGACTACAACTTAGTAGGTGTTATTGAAAGATTTAGTGGACAAAGAGATGAGATATCTAGACTGCCACAGGAAAACAATGGCTTATTATGTAATGTTAGAATATTTGCAATATAACAAGAAACTCAGGAGCTCTGGAGGATTTATTGTTTTAGTTATGTTTCTCTCAAGAAACTGGTTTTCTCCTTATACAATGGACACACTATTGGTTAAGAAATGGATTATGTCAGCTATCCCTTTGCTGTCTGTTTTCTATTGAAAATACTTGTCCCTGCATTTTCTTCAAATCCATTTATTGGACCATAATCAGACAGTTGTATTTGACTTCATACTTCTACTATTGAATTTGGTGGTAGGAAATTTGAAGCCCACTTGATTTGACTTTATAATTTGGTGGTAGGAGATTTGAAGCCCACTTGATTTGACTTTATAATTTAGTGGTAGGAGATTTGAAGCCCACTTGATTTGACTTTATAATTTAGTGGTAGGAAATTTGAAGCCCACTTGATTTGACTTTATAATTTGGTGGTAGGAAATTTGAAGCCCACTTGATTTGACTTTATAATTTGGTGGTAGGAGATTTGAAGCCCACTTGATTTGACTATATAATTTGGTGGTAGGAGATTTGAAGCCCACTTGATTTGACTTTATAATTTAGTGGTAGGAGATTTGAAGCCCACTTGATTTGACTTTATAATTTAGTGGTAGGAAATTTGAAGCCCACTTGATTTGACTTTATAATTTGGTGGTAGGAAATTTGAAGCCCACTTGATTTGACTATATAATTTGGTGGTAGGAGATTTGAAGCCCACTTGATATGACTTTATAATTTAGTGGTAGGAGATTTGAAGCCCACTTGATTTGACTTTATAATTTAGTGGTAGGAGATTTGAAGCCCACTTGATTTGACTTTATAATTTGGTGGTAGGAAATTTGAAGCCCACTTGATTTGACTTTATAATTTGGTGGTAGGAAATTTGAAGCCCACTTGATTTGACTTTATAATTTGGTGGCAGGAGATTTGAAGCTGACTTGATTTGACTTTATAATTTGGTGGCAGGAGATTTGAAGCCCACTTGATTTGACTATATAATTTGGTGGTAGGAGATTTGAAGCTGACTTGATTTGACTTTATAATTTGGTGGCAGGAGATTTGAAGCCCACTTGATTTGACTTTATAATTTGGTGGTAGGAGATTTGAAGCCCACTTGATTTGACTATATTATCAGGTTTTGACATTGTGATGTTTCACCACAATTATCTTTAAAAATTGAATTCAGAATTGAGTGATAAAATTGGTAGTCCATACTGCAAGAATACACAAGATTCCAATTTTCGATTTTATGAATCAACTGCACCGTTTTACGTGGGTCATTTGGGGATAACGCGTCATAGAACATTGTGACATAAAGATATTTGCTTTGTAACGTCAATTTTTTCCGGGAAAAAGCAGCAATTGGAAGATCATGTTTGCTACAAAGTAAGGTTGTGTAATATAAATCTATGTATAGATATAATATCAGATTTATTATATGTAGGACAAATAAAGGTCAAATAAACTTAAGAGAATTATTTTTTAATCAAAATAAAACAGAAAGTTGGAAAAAAAGCAAAGTTTGTGATATTTGAATGGAAAGTGATTAAATGTTAGTGAAATTTCAGGAAATTCTACAGAGAAACTACTTGTCCATTTGATAAACATTTAGGAACATATAAGAGTATTTGTTAGGAACATTGGGAACAAAATTCAACCATAACATTTAAGTTATTGAATATTATATAGAAATGGTGCAAATTCAAAAACTGTAATTGTTGTCAACATCTGTTCTCATCAAAATGAAGTTCTAGTTTTTTTTTTAGTGCAGATGTTGTTTTTTATGATTAATGGTATGCAGTAGTAATAGTAAATAGGGCAGATGTTTTATCTAAGAAAACATACTTATAATGTTGTCTGTTGAATACTAGTACCATTTAATTTCATGCCATCTCCCTAGTTTACTGTTAATATATACATTTATTTTTATTTTTAAATTTGATAAGTTCTATTAATTTATATATTTTGAAAAATAGTTAGCATTTACAGTATTGATGCCTTAAATGTTAGGGTTATCTTTTTACTCCTGTTTAGTCCAGTTAATTAATAATTGATCATTTTCTGCTCAATTTATGATTTATCTTTTTTTTTAGTTTTGAAAAATTTCTTCAAATTCTACTAATAAATAGTTTTAAAATTTAAAAATGAACAACTAGAAGTAAAAAGAAGAGAAAAAATGTATGGGTTTTTTTTTTATTGAAGGTGTACAAGAAGAAGACGGAGACAGCTAAGAAAGATTATCTGAAGCAGTTGGCAGCCTATAGAGCTAGTTTAGTCTCACAGGTAAATTGATGAAATAAAGATTCCGGACTACGGTTAAGTTTGACCTACATTTTCATATTATATTCCGAGTATAATCATCAGATACAGTCCCTTTACTCTTTTTAATTGGGAGAACATAGGGTGTAACCAAAGTAAAAAATTTGAGAAATTACACAACTAATGAAAAGGATAAGATATAGTAGCTGTAAGAAGATCAATACACATCTGCTGGACAATTTGTTTTTACTAGATTATTAAAAGAGATTTCTTGAATGATGACAGTGAATTATGTCCATCTATTGTTCCAATACAAATTCTTATAGATATATGATGTTACTTTTAATCTAAACTGTTAATAATGGAATGTTAAAAGTATTAAAATTGTAATAAACAAACATAAAATTGTCAAAACAAGCATTTTTATGCTTTTAATATTTGGCAGGTGTGAGTTTTATGACTGTTCTGACTTTATTTCCTTGTAATTACATCCTTTTAACAATGAAATTACAGACTTCCATACATGTCTGTTCAGTCCTTTGATTTTTAGGTGTTAAATTACGAAATCTGATCCTGTTCCTGGTATTATATAACCAATTGTTAATATTTTATGTTTTTCAAGTATTTACTGAGAACCTTTCAACAATAAAATAATTTGTAATAATTATAAAGAAAAGATTTAAAATATGATATTACTATTTATCTTATAAATTTTTTTTTGCTTATTTCTTTTTTAAACCTGGAATAATCACTTGGAATTTGGAAAATCTGTATTTCATTACAATAAAACATAGTAATTTTCCTTGATGACATGGAAACTAGGCAAATTGCATGTTTCCGCTAAAAAAAACTTCAAGCAGGCAGCTTGTCTTACATTTAGATAACAGAAGTTAGATTAATTTTGAAATTTGTAAGCTGAATTAGGGACAGATAAAGCATAGCTTGTATATTGTATAAAATATACATGTATCAATGTGAAATGTGTCAGAATGACAAAATTACATTGTAAAAAATATCAACAGAATCATGAAAATAAGGGCCTACAATATGTATGCGAAAAAAACCAGCTCAAATTTTATTTATACTTTATTGTTCGTATTAGTCGATTTTAAGTTGGATTAAGTTAGTCCAACGACAGATAAAATAAAAAACATGTTTTTAGATAGATTTTAACAAATATAGTATAGTATAGTTATATTTATCTGATTTTAAAGTTGATTCCTCTGATTATTTTGTAAGTAATACATTCCATGAAATTCGTTATGAACAATGGCAAAGTATTGTATTTATTCAACTAGTTACTGGTAATTGGTCGTTTAAAATCAAGGACAAGCCACCATTGATTTCATATTGCAAAAATCTTAATGATTTGTAATTAAATTTGTTGGTTTGTGTATTGTTATATTGAACAAAGGATGTTCATTTCCTAATGAGGGAAAATGTTTCCATTTGATGTCGGCCATTCAGATCCAGGAACCACTGGTCATTAAACCGTAATATCAATCAGTTGCCTGAGGCATCTCAAATCACCCACTATTGTACATTTGGTCATTAAAAGTTTTTATAGAGTAATTTGAATAAAATACATATTGATGGTTGAGGACATTTTAGATTGTATAGAAAGAAAAAAAATGTGTTTTGTTTTCCTAAGACGAAAATTGGTCATCTATAATACTGTTGTTTCATTATCATTGGTGAGGTACTGATTTACGTCAATTTAGAGGGTAAATATGAACTATTTTTTTTCAAGTCTGCAACAAATGCAATTTTCCTATAGGCTTGTATAAGGAATTGGTCAACTCTTGAAAATCACAGAAAATACAATTTTTCCTGAATCTATGAAAATTGATACCCACTAAAATAAGTAAATCCCCAGTAATTGATTTGTAAGGGGAAGGTTCATTTTCAGTTGAAGATTTTTATAGAAATAAACCTTGTCTAAAATAATATGGATTAAGACAATCAAAGGTTTGGAGGAGTTTGTAAAAGTCATTGTGATTAAAGGAAATAAAATATAGATTGAATATTGGAGAAACTAATAAAAGTAACTAAACATCAAATAAAGAATATTTTCTAATCAAGGTAATTTCTTTTTTCATGAGTCTATACTACATTAACAGGTACTTTCAGAACTGGAATTATAACAATCATTTCAAATACTAAAACAGTTTGAAAGTTTTACCAGGAAAATGAGATAGAAAAAATGCAGCTTGCATCAACCATCTGACATATTGATGTTGTCATCATCAGGTCTAATTTTAAATGCTTTTTTCAGTGCGTTTGTTGTGCACAATGCGTATGTTGAGTTAGATGCAGTTTTTTTGTTTGTTATAAGAAAAGGAAACTGCTGCAAGTCTCTAGAATTTCAAAATGATCTCATTACTATTCAAACATCCACTTCAATGTGATGCAGTTATCAACAAAAACTATATGCAAATTATGTAATACCACAAAGAAATTGATCAAAATTTCTTTTTCTATTGGCGCACAAGAAATAAAGGTAAATTTAAATATAAATAGAGAAAAATCATTCAGTTTGGGTCTATTTACCATCTGCTGGTGGTAAAAACTGACAGGTGCAAATTGCGATCACTTTTGTTTCGAAATAAAATTTTAAGTTCTTCATTGTAATTTCTTTTCATCTTAAAAGTCTTTAAAAACAAGGTCTTAATTTAATTGCATTTTCACATGTAAAAAAATAGATTTCAATTTTTAAATTTTATTTTCTGTTATAAATAATGCATATCAAATGAAATTATTATTCTGAAATTGGACTTTTATTATCGATTAAATGTATTTAAAAGTACAGAGAAACTGAAATAAGTTCACCTGAAGTTGAATACAATACAATATTAAGTAAGAATATCAATTGAAGGACCATTAATATCAGTACTTTACAATTTCTCTGTTTCATTTATATTTCCTTTTTATTAGCTCACCTGGCCCAAAGGGGTAAGTGAGCTTTTCTCATCATTAAGCATCCTTCGTCGTTGTCGGTTAACTTGTACACAAATCTTCTCCTCTGAAACTACTTGGCCAAATTCTAACCAAACTTGGTTACAATTATGATAGGGGTATTTTGTTTTAAAAATGTGTCTTATGACCCTGCTTGCTAACCAACATGGCTGATAGGGCTAAAAATAGAACATAGGGGTAAAATGCAAGTTTCATCTATTATCTTGAAAACCACTATAGATAAAGAAAATCTGACAGGGAGACAGGGAGAGAATTGTTCAGAATGTTGAGCCTTACCTATTGTCTATTTACATTCAAACTGTCAGATGACTTCTTATAGGAGTTATTGCCTGTAAATGATATCTTTAGCATTTTTTTGCATTTTTGCATAATATCTTAAAAATTACAATAAATAGGTAGAAACATAAATAAACAAAAGTTATCAGCAAGACAAGATCTACAATAAAGTTATATGGAGGAAATCCTCTGACGACTCCTTATTAGAGTTTTGATATTCTTAAATGTAATAAGACAAGGTCTGCATATATGTGAAATGGCTTGTTGAAGATGCACATTAACCTAGGTGAGGGACACAGGCTCTTGAGAGCCTCTAGTTCCATACATCAAACACATGTTGAGTCCAAACCTGATGGACACTTTCTATAACCAAGGTTTTCTAACCACATAACAAATCTTCAACATGCATATTTTTTAAATGTATATTTACAATTGCTAAATGAAATTTTCTTTCAAAATTTATCCAAGCACACCATTTTACTCGTTAATATTTTTCATGACCAGCATTTTGATTCTGTGTGAGATGATAATTTGATTTTGTCATATTTTAAAACCAAAAAGATAATAGAATTTGACCATATCTGATGGGTGGTGACTCCCGCAGCAAGAATGTGTCTGAAGAGGCTTATTTAGGATCATGAAGCTCTGATTTAATATATATAATATTATGACTTTATAAGAATCACGAAAAAGATCCTTTTTTTTATTTGACTTGAAGAGATGTTTTTAAATGGTGTATTACTGCCAGTAAATACTGATTATAATCAAGTGCAGATCAATTTCATTGATGGAACTTAGATTGCAAATCATGTTTCAGAAAAATGATAATAATAGCTGCAGTTATTTACTCATACTTTATAGGAATCTATAGTCTAGTGAAAACTAAATTCTTTTTCCTGTAATAGAGTATGACACAGCTTGGCAATGATTGGATAACCAATCAGTAGTGTTAACAGATGTAGTCTGTGTAATCAATAGTTATATGCTATTTTAGTGTTCAATTGACTATTTTGTTTGCGATCTCTTATTATTATCATTTTTGTTTAAATGGACTTTTGAATTAGGAATTAGAATTTTACTAGATTTATTAACATATTTGTTTGAGTGGATTGAGTTTCAAGTTCTCACAAAATCTTCTTGTATTTAAAATTCTATAATTTCACTGCCTGTATAAAGAATTAAGGAACTTAAATGTTTTATTAAACCCTTTGTACATGTTGTAATAGGTGAAGCAGACTATTCAAAATATAAATTGGATTCCTAAAAAAAGTTTCTTTGACCTGACCCCAGTACTTGAGCAGTTCTTTTTAGCTCACCGGGCCTCTCAAAACACTTACATGATATAGTAGGTAGTCATAATTTCATATATCTGTCCTTAAAAAAGAAAAGAATTATGATAATATACATTTCAATTTCACAAACTAAAAATTAAAGTGATATAATTTCTCTTTCAGAATGCATTGGAAGATTTGATGCCAGACAAGAGAAACTTAAGAAACATGTCTCCCATGCATCATATGTCACCGAAGAATCTGTCACCACAACATAATATGTCACCACAACATATGGGTGTGTCACCTTCTCATTCATCAAATCATAGTAACAGTATGTCACCACCATGTGTTAATATGTCACCAAATCACATGAACATTTCACCACAGAATATGAATATGTCACCTCAACATATGAATATGTCACCACAACATGTCAACATGTCACCACCTCAACATACAAACATGTCACCTCCACAGCAACAAGTAAATATGTCATCAGTTCCAATGGATGGAATGGGAATGATGACGATGAATAACATGGGAGGACAGAATAGTATTATGTATCACTCAGCCCTTCCTAAACTGGCTCCAAACATACAGCCAAGGTCTCCTGTGCTTGGAACACTCATGGTAAGTACCAGTCAGCCCTTCCTAAACTGGCTCCAAACATTTAGCCAAGGTTCCATGTGCTGGGAACACTCATGGTAAGTACCAGTCAACCCTTCCTAAACTGGCTCCAAACATACAGCCAAGGTCTCCTGTGCTGGGAACACTCCTGGTAAGTACCAGTCAGCCCTTCCTAAACTGGCTCAAAACATATTGCCAAGGTTTCCTGTGCTGGGAACACTCATGGTAAGTACCAGTCAGCCCTTCCTAAACTGGCTCCAAACATACAGCCAAGGTCTCCTGTGCTGGGAACACTCCTGGTAAGGACCAGTCAGCCCTCCTAAACTGGCTCCAAACATACAGCCAAGGTCTTCTGTGCTGGGAACACTCATGGTAAGTACCAGTCAGCTCTTCCTAAACTGGCTCCAAACATACAGCCAAGGTCTCCTGTGCTTGGAACACTCATGGTAAGTACCAGTCAGCTCTTCCTAAACTGGCTCTAAACATACAGCCAAGGTCTCCTGTGCTGGGAACACTCATGGTAAGTACCAGTCAGCTCTTCCTAAACTGGCTCCAAACATACAGTTTATGTCTCCTGTGCTTGGAACACTCATGGTAAGTTCAAGGCAAATCTTCATGACATTGACTAGTAAGTAAAAGTTAGCACTACCTAGACTCCACACATTCAGCCTAGTTCAGTTTTTTGTGGACCTCTCATTGAGAGTACCAATCAGCCATACAGTATAAGTATAGATTATCAGTTGAGTGCCACAATTTGAACCTTTTTTGGGAAGTGAGGGCAGCGAGCGAGCAAAAAAGCTTCACATGGTGTCAAGCAATAAAAGTAATAGTATTTCATACTTGTACTATATATGGTCATGGTTTTATACAATTTTATGATATAAAAAAGACATCCATCCATTTACTAAATCATTTATTGTTTATTTCAGAAAAAATAATTACCTAGTTAAGGTTTATTTCAATAATTTGATATACAAATATGTGAATACATGTGAATTGAGATATGGGGGGGGGGGGGGGGGTTGTCTGTGAGACAGCAACTAAACAGCTCAAGTTTACTTACTGTACTAGAAATATTGATATAACCTTCACTTAAGTAAGGGATAGTGGGAAGGGCCCTGGATAGGGGGATTCAGATTGCATTGATTGTTTGAATATTCCAAAAATCTGTATTTTATATTTTATAAACAGGAAGAAGCTAGTTTGGATACAAATATAATGGCCTCCATGTGTGTTAGAAATGGTTGTATAAATAGAAGTATAGAGAATCCTGGATGGGACAACGAATATTGCTCAACAGATTGTGTTGTCAGCCACTGTAGGTTAGTAGATTATGTAAAAAATTATCTGGAACTTGTAAGTACTGTTCAAGTTAATGTTTTACTGATATCAACAAATTATTTGCATTTTTCATCTGCCCTCAATTACTTGTTTTCCTCAGATACATACTGCATACTGAGTATTATGCAAAAAATAGAAAGTTTGATGTCTGTATTATCCTTTATATCAAACAAAGATTTCACTGATCTCTTGATTCAATGCTTTGATGTCTGTATTATCCTTTATATCAAACAAAGATTTCACTGATCTCTTGATTCAATGCTTTTATCCTTGCTACTGATTGTAATCATTAAAAAGAAAAAAAAAAACAGTTTAAAACCTGAATCTTTACCACATACAACTTTTAAAAAAATGAAAACAAAACTTTATAAATTTCATGCATCGGAAGCATTTTACTGGATTTACTTTCATCAGGAATGCTTAAAACGGAAAATTTGAAAGCCAAGGATGTATAAAAGCTGAAATAGTTTAAGAGCTATATGACCAAAAAGGACCTAAAATAATAGCCAAGTCGATCTAAGGTCAACTTTGCCTGAATGTGTTAAAATCTTAGTTTATTGATAACAATTAGATATTTTGCCAGCATCTCTAAAAATGTGTACTGTTGTTCTGTAGTTCTGTAGTTGTGACATCACAAGATAACTACTCTCAGAACCAACAAAAACCTTAATGTTTAGTTGTGATGTTGACTTTAAACAACTTCACAGAAAACACACACAATTTTGATATTACATTATAATAATTTTGATCTGCTCATTAAGACCTTTCTTTGTTTTTCAGAGATGTATTCACTGCTTGGGTGGCCAATAGACAGGGAATGAATTTTGATTCCAAGGTCAAGTGAATGTCAACAAAAAAGGACAATTAGGATTAAATAAATATTTTTTGTACAATTATGTTGATACTGTTTATATATTAAAACTTCTTTAATAAAAAAAACCAGATAAGAAAGTCAAAAAGAGGCAATTTGAAGGTTGTTTTTGTGTCACATCAACTATTATAATTACCACGTTTTGTGCAGTATTGAAATCATGTATCAATATATTCTTCAAATGTTTGGAAAAACTGTCATTTGTAAAAACATATTTAAGAAAATGTAGTACATCAATATAAGCTTTGTAAACTGAATGAACATGAATTATAACTGACAGTGTACAGCTTTGCTGAATATATTTTAATTTCCGCTTTCTATAGTGCTTCTTGCTTTTTCTTTTTAATTTATTTCTAGCAAAAAGCAAAATGTTTATGCTCCTTATTTCAATACATTAAAGTACAAAATTCCCATGAAAAATTACCTTTTTTATTAACATATGTAAAAATTTGTAAAGTGTCTGGTCATAGGGATCCTTTCTGGCTTCATGCAGTGTCTTGGTGTCCGCAGCGTCCTGTCCCATTCCCATTTTTATTAATCCATAACTCCTTGTAATTAATGGCTTGGCAACTACAGGACATGAACTTGTATACCCTTTAATCTTAGTTTTAGGGTTTTCCCATAACTAATGAAGGACAAGGCCATTTCTGCTTACATCTGTCAAACTTTAACATATTCTTCTTCAAGGTATGAAGTTGTGTACATGCCTTTTTACTTATGGATATGATTGCTTTTTGGGGTTTCCTTTAACAAAACATGGATTAGCTATTTCTGCTGATATAATTTGGAGCCGACAGGTGACACACAAGTCTTTCTTGGAAGACTTGCACATTTTTCTAATATAAAAAAATATAAGAAACATTTCTGGTCAACTATAGTTTATTTATAGCTATAAATGATGTCAATCAAATATTTTTTTTATTATACAGGTCTGTGTTTTTATTGTTATTATCTTCATATTTCATGAGAAAACTAAGTTTGTAAATGTGAAACAATAAGCAATATTAATTCCTTTAGCAATGTTGTAAAGGGGAGAAAATTTCAATTTTCTCTTCAGTTCTTATAGCAAAAGGGAGATAATTTATTGTTTTTCCAAATATTTTGTTTAATGATAGGTAAGGGATTAATGTTTTTGGTTGATATTTGTGGGTATTTATGAACAGTTGTAATATAAAGCAGTAAAACTGTACAAAAATTGATGAATTTATGTAGATATAATGTTATTTATGATGTTAATTTTGCTTGAAATGAAGCTTTGACAGTATTACATAGATGTTTAGTATTGCTTGTTCAATGTTTTACCATCAGATATATATAAAGGTCAGTAAAGTAAGCTTTTCACATGACACTGTTTTTGTGTAATTAGAAACCATAACAATTATAATAGGGAAATGTGTTATTAAATGTAAAATTGTCCTATGATCTGTTTATTTGCAATGAGAATTTATAAATTCAGAATTGTTTGAAGTCAGTTTTCAATATTTTATTGGTCAAGGAAGAAAACCCGTATTCTGAGCAATAAACTGATATAGCATTTGAATGTTTACTCTATCTTTATAATATTTTTCTAATTTCTGTACCATTTCAAGTACAAATAGTAAAAAAGGAGATGTAATTGCCATTTGTTTACCTATTTTATTAACTAAATGTTTTAAAAGAACATTGACTTCTTTATAGAATTTTTCAATTGTATCAGTTTCCAGTCAAAAATACAACCTAAAAATAATGATATTTGACTAGTTACATGTACAATAAAAAAATAAAGGAGATGTCGTATGATTGCCAACGAGACAACTATCCACCAAAGTTCAAATAAAGTGAATGTAAGCAATTATAGGCAACCATACAGCCTTCAACAATGAGAAAAAGCCATACTGTATAGTCAGCTATAAAAGGCCCAGACATGAAAAATATGAAACAATTCAATTGAGAAAACAGCCTAATTTATAACAAAACAATAATCAAAAAAAACAAATTTGTTTGTTATAGATATATTTCTTGGTAAAACATTGTTGTAAGATAGCAGTTATGTTGTTATAGTTTACTTATTTATCATTATAAAATATAAACTATTCAGAAATTTAAAAAAAATATTGATTTGCTATTCTGATTCATTGTGTCACACATAAACTCTATCAGAAAAAAATGACTAGAAAAAGAGATACACATATTTTGAATTGAGGTTAAATTTGGAATAGAGAAATCCAAGGCAAAGTGTTTGAAAATAAAGATTAACAAATTTTATTTATTTTTGTTCTAGTGTAGAAGTATATATTTTTGAGGGATTTGCAAGGTTTTTTATGAGGTGTCTTTAGATTAACCCAATGCATAGTATTACACTTAACATTTTTGTAGGTTTCGTGTTTTGATCTTTATTGTGTTATTTTCAAACGTGACAAAATATTCTTATTTAGAAAGTGTTAACGTTACGTCAAAGATATAATAGATGACTTGGATTTCTGAACACTAGATAAAACTCTTTTTAAACTTTCCAGTTTGAAGAAAATGCCTTCATACTGTCTAAAACAATTTGTAAATCTCAATTTATTTCCAATCTATTTCTAAGACAATAAAGAGTATTAATTTAATTCATAAATATGACTGCTTTCTAACCATGCTGTAATGACTGAAAATTAGATTAACCATATGAATAAAATAAGATCTGAGATGTATATCACTGTACAGTTTTTGTATCAATACAAAGCTGTAAATTGTCCCTTGTCTTGACAAGTTTTTAATTAATTTAGCAATTTACTCCAGGTCGGCCATTTGGAACATATTCTGTAAAAGACCAAAAGTATAAGCTTCAACAGGATTATGCTAATATTTTTAGTACTCAAACCCTTTTCCTTTTCATATGGATAAGGGGATCTACCAAATTTACAAAGCAAGAAGTCCATTTTAGATTATTAGGTTTAGAATATTCAGTTCACCAGAATATGTTATATTCAATAATCATGCATTCCAATAGGAAACTCTTATATAAAGAAAAATGAATCCGCAACTAGAATTAGGATGGAATGTCCTGGAAATTGGATATTTTTCATTCAGTTTGTGCATTATACATTCCTAGATTGTTGTCAGATATGCCAAATAATTCATTATTTGCTTGATATTATAATTAAGTCATAATAAATTTCTAATTTCATAGTCAGTTTAAATGAGTTTTTCATCATCAAAGTAAAAAATAAATAGTTTTCTATTCAAACCATATTTTACAAGATTTTTGTAATAATGAAGGATTTTGTAGTTTATTTGAATTTTACATGACCAAAGTTGTATTGCATTTACATTGCAATGATATTGATTAAATGACTTTGAAATGATTGTTGTTTTTGTTGGGCCCTTTAAACAGAAATACACAAATCAAAACTATCACTTCAGATGGTCGAATATTGAGCTTTCAGTCAGCTGTCATTAAATTTTTTCCTGAAGTACAAGAGGGAGTGCATTTTTCTTACTGCCATATAAAAAAATGCTGATTTGTGAAAATTTTGCATAATGTATGTCATGCAGTTAATATGTTGAAAACCTGTAAAACATTTGAAGATTGACATATTCATTCATTTACATGTAAAATCATGATTAAATATTCTAATGCAAGTTTTGTTTTTCTTTCTCATGTACTTTTGGATTTGAAAGATAAGTATTTAGTCTAGATCTACATATATATGTTTGTACCATTCCTTCAGACAAAAATTAATCTTAGTAGAGATAATAGATCAAAAATCATTTGCCTTTTGAAAGGAACTTTAAAAAAAAAAATTTGCTATTGTAAACAAAATTACTCCGACAGAACTATGTAAATATGAGGTAAAGTTATTAAAATCAATCTGCTGATTTGAGTAGCTTTGAAAATAACAGCTAAAAAATGGAAAACTTCTGTAACAGTCTGTGATTATATATATATGACATGACATAAAAATATTTCCCACATGAATTGTTTTTGCTGTAAAATCTCATCAGAGATACCAGGCTTATGATTTGGTACACAAGACACGCATTTCGTCTTCATAAGATTTATAAGTGGCGCTTATATCAAAACATTGGAAGACCAAATCAAATTTGAAGTTCAAGAGCATTGAAAACCAAAATAATCTGAAAAGTTGTGCTACAGCTAAGACCATCTATACCTGGAGGTTGAAAAACCTTAGTGTTTTGAATAATTCAAAATGTATAGACAAGAAAGTTACAAAAAAATGACCGTATCATTGATATTCAATTTCAACACAGAAGTACCTTCTACTGGGCTGTAGATACCCTTGGAATGCAACGTCCACCGTCAGTGGCATCCACCTAGTGGTTTTAAAAACGCATCAAAGATACCAGGCTTATAATTTGTTGTGCAAGATGTGCTTAAGAATATAACACTGACAAGAGTGCCAGACTAAAAGTAACAGATTTTAGAATGTTGAAGCTGTCCAGCCTGCAAGATTTCCATTTGAACCATCGTTACTTGTGTATTTTGCTTTTCTGTCAACCAGGGGGGTTCAAATGGAATTCTTTCCTTCCAGCCTCGTTCTTTTGAAATTGATTCTTTTCCTAGGCCATTGATTTAACAAATTTACATGGATTAAAAAAGTCCGAAAATTGTATGAGCTGTTCTCATCCATTAGATTGCTTTAAACATAAATATCTTGGTTCTTTCGAACCTTATCATGTAAACAATCACAAGGCTTCGATTTCCAGGTATTTCCAGGTTCATTCATGTCTATGGATGAGAGAAAAAAACACAAATTTGGAAGATCTGACGATAAACGACAAGTGAGCATTTCTCATCACCTGGTGCCTTTAAATTGGCTAGTCTATTTAAAGTTCGTTATTCATCTCCATACTCACAGGTGTCATGCGGTATGTCGAGAGAAATGATCGTGAAAGAATAACTAACGGTGGTCAAGCATTGCGATCGGATCGTGAAAGATCTGGTATCGGATCGTGAATGAAATTAAGTGTAATTCTACTTCAAAATCGGTGAAAAATCTGCTGTATTTTCAAAAAGGTGGAAAAAATCAGAAAAAAAATTATGTCTGTCAAAATGACTCAACTTCCTTAATAACAATGTGCACTAAGTTAGAGCAAAATGCAGTACTTTTTAAGAATACACAAAAGGCGACACACAATCCTATGACAATCATTAAGAAAAAATCACGTTTTGTGTCTATAATGGTCACATTCCAATATATCATGATATATTTGAAATTTAATCTTTATTGTGTCAGATAGTCCAGTAAAATAAAAGTATGTTATTACTTGAAAAAGTTCATATTGTTTTTGAAAAAGTATATGTTTGTTGATTTTTAATAAAAATTCAACGCATTATTTTGATCGTGAAAGACTAGGCGTGACCAGACTTAATGATCAGAAAACAGCATTTATTTTACCAAACATTGATATACTTGTAATTGGTTGAAGCGTGTAATTACTTACTTAGAACGTAAATTAATTCTTTAATTTGTTTTGGTGATATCTATATAAATACATAAATATGGGTAAATATATATTTACCCATATTTAGACCTGTTTTCATTTAGAGACAATGCTAAATGTAACTAGGCATCCAAGATAATAAGACCTTCAGGAGCGCAAATTGTCGAAAAGTAAATATCTTTGTATATATAATACGTAATGCATCCACAAATGAGTGAAGCGAGAGGGTGTCTTGTGGTCTTCCCCTGGAAATGTCTTCATGTGTACGTTTTTGTTTTCGTAAGGGTTAGATCAAAGCAGCTATAATATTTCATTTTACATACAGGTGTATTGAAGATGTTCTTTCCATTAACAATACAAACTTTTCTAATTGGGTCCCATTAGTCACGAACTAGAGAATATAGACAGCATATAGATTGCTTCCTCGACCTCATTTTTTAGACATATATCCCGAATTTGACTACAACGGTCATCTCAATACCAGAGTCTATGACAAACGAGATGATTCAATTTTGAAATTATCAATTTTCCTCACCTTAGCACCGGCTTACCAACTTCATATGCGTATAGAGTATACATTTCTCAACTCATACGATTTTCAGGAGCTTACAGCTACTACTCCGAGTTTTTAAAACGTTATGAGTGCCTTTAGCAAAAAAAATATTGAGTTTTGTGAAAGAACATCTCGTCCTTTTTTTTGAAAGTACCAAAACATAATAAAATGATATTCAGCGTCTACTTAACAAATAATACAGAATGGTCTTGAGTTATAGATTCTATGTGCTGACTCTATGTAGCATTTTATCTACTTTACAGTTTTCCATTTATTTGTTTTTGTACTAATATGTTCCATTTGATCGTATGTATCTTGACGTGGTTCCGTATATGTGCATCCAGCTTTAAGGTTTTTGACTTTTGGAGTTCCTTGTGTGGGTGGGTCCAGAGATGCGATTCGGACACATGAGGTTTTTATAGTGTTGTTTCATTTTGTATACACTTGTATTTAAATTTTACTTTTATTGTATTTTATCGGGAAGTGTATATGTCACTATGTAAGGAGCCCCTAAAGTGCCAAGTAAATAGAAATATTTTAGTTGTAGATTTAATATGGTGCGCACTAGTTTGAAAAATCGTGCGAACGAGCTGAAAAGTTGCGCGCACCATTTCATTTTTGAAAGTCATGATCACGAGTTTTATAGTCGTGCGCACCATTTTGAAAGTCTTCCGCGCCAGTATGAAAGTCGTGCGCACCAGATTGAATCTCCGCGGGAAACGAAAATATTTCTATTTACTTGGCACTTAACGGGCTCCGTAATTATGCTTTACTGTACTGACTGAATTCTAATTTTGGCTGCTGGATCCCAGATATAGCCACGTTAACCAATTATGTCTGTGTGGGTCCCTTGCCCAATTTGACAATATTACGGAACATTAAACAACTGTCATACAAGTGGGCGTATTAGCTAGCTAGAAAACCAGATTTAAACCACCATTTTCTTAGGAAAATGCCTGTGCTAAGTCAGGAATATGGCAGTTGTTTTCCTGCTTTTTTTTTAAACAAAGTTTTCCCCAATCTTTACAAAAATCAACAAGGATCTTCGTTTAACAGATATGAATATGCATAAAAATTAATGGAATTCAGATAAGACAATCTTAACTTTTCAAACGACACAATTTTATGCAGGACGGACGACGGACTTATATTGTTAGAAGAAAACTAGTCGGTGTGATAATATCAAATAATTAGATCCAATGGCATTGAACCATCATAGCCCTATTCACAAACAAAAGTGAAGCGGAATAAGTCATGCAAATCCAATATTTTGATATATCGACAACAGATCTTTCACGATCCTTTTCACGATCATCAAAATGCGGTACCCGATCTTTCACGATCCGAAATATAAAATTTTTACAAATATTACCGTTTTTGCAAAGTTTCTGATTAAACTAAATCAAAATAACTTTAAGAATAATTTTAAACAGTAATATTCAAGAGAAAAGTAGTTTATGCATTTAAAATTTGAAAAAAAAACCATGTTTGTTTACATTTTTATTTCTCTGAAATTTCGAAGAGCAATCTGCCTTTTGTAGTTTTGTAAAAACTGTTTACTTTTAAGCCCTGATTTTTTTCGGATACTGATCATTATGTTGAACCATTTTGACAGACAGTTTTATTTTTCCAATATTTGTCATTATAATTGATAAAATTAGATTATTCAATGACGTTGCATGTGTTTTCTCGATAAGATTTCCTTCACGATCCAATCGCAATACTTGACCACCGTTACTTATTCTTTCACGATAATTTTTCTCGATATACCGAATGAAAGCCGTGGTACTGACCAAACGGTGTCCATTACTATAACACTATATTCTAGCAGTCTCAGTCCATGTAAATATTTAGCTGACTTTTAGAATATATTTGTCCAATCAACATTGCCTGGAAAATCTGAGTTTCCTCCTCAGATGACCAGTGTTTACCCTAATTGTGGCTTATTGGCTTGAAATGAAAACGATTGTTTTTCCACTATTATCAACCTTTCAGTTTGACAGTTATCTTAACCATTATAGTGATCTCGGTGGCCGAATGGTCTACTACATCACTAGTCTGTCAACACTGAAATTGTGAGTTCGAACCCAACACGTTGAATGAGTGTTCGTCTCTAACCTTAATTGACTAGGATTGTAAGATTTCCCGCTGAAGTTTCTCTAGAAGCACCCCCACTTAATCCCCTTATAAAAACTGGTTACCACGAAATAGCCAATAGTGCTGAAATGAGCATTAAACACTAAATATCAATCAATCAATCTTAACCATTATCATACCCCAGGCCCTTGCTGACATTGAGTATGGATTTTCTAAACAGAACTTGCAAATCGCATACGAGATTCATTGTATCTAAAGTTCTGTTGACCTAATAACCATTATTTAAAAGATTTTTAAAAGTTAATATTTGGAAATTTCTGCCTATCGCCGATTTTCATGTCAGCTTTTTAGCTAGTATCCTCTGGTGGGTGTTTTATACCCACTGTAAGCTATTGCATACATATTCTTGGCAATGATATGTATATGAAGCCTACTAGACTTACACTGATGTTGACATAGAGTTGACTGGTCTTTGCTATAACTTTAAAATATTGCATGTTTAGCATAGAAGTAGCAAATAACAATT